ACTTGTAATGAAACTACAGATGTGAAGGATACGATGATGTTCCAGGGGCCGAGCCGGAGCCAGTTGGGCCAGAATCCTTTGTAGAGAGCGAAGAATCCCTCGTTCTTCCAGGTCTGCATCAGTCCGTCCATCGTGCCCTTGTACATCGGCGCCCCAGACAGGACGCGCTGGTTCATCATCCGTGTCCTCACCACGTCCACCGGGTTGGAGGCCAGCGCCCCCGCCAGGCCACACGTGAAACTGGAGCTGCACCGGGGACAGAGGGGGTTGGTCAAGTTTAAAGGATGGGACTAAAGCCAAGGTTTTAAGACACACAAAAACAACTATGTAATCAAATCCACCTCCTTCCTGGCTCTAAAACAGCGTGGATCTCTATAGACTGTTTACAGATGGACAACGCTAACCTGCTAGCTCAGTGAAGCACACTAGGGAAGTGCTCATGGACTAAGTTTTGCTCCATCTCTCTCTGGCTCTTCTAACTCAGTAACGTTTGTGTCACACTCACCAGTTTGGATTTAAAGATCTGTGGTTTGTTTAAATGTGATGTTGTCTTTGGTCAATCCTTCTTTGCCTCATATCTGGATTGACCAATCAGAGGCCTTCATTCAGGGAGAAACTCCAGCTTGCCTTAGCAACCGTCTTAGCAACACGTCTGCCTCTGTTACTGCACAAAGCTAACGCTGTTTAAGAATATTAGCTTATGTTCAAATCTGACAAACACTGGCCCTCTCATCCTTCACAGGTTTTCACAGTTTAAGTTTCCTTGATGCTGCGACCGATCATAGAACAGTTCTGTAACGTTTAGTCTTCAGGTGAGAGAGGAGGAGAGGATTTATAGATGATAGAACTTGTTTTGAAGCGAGTCTTGGTGAGACTCACATGAAGTGCGTGAGGATGGTGTCTCCCATGGCCCCGGAGTGAAGAAGGTGTTTTTTGGTGATGTCATAAACAGGAAGTTCCACACCGACAACAATGGCCGCTCGCTGAGCCGTGGGGATCACACCCTGAAGAGAGAGAAAGGGTTTCAATTAAATACTACTGCTATTCAGGAGAGAGACCAGAGAGAGAGACCAGAGAGAGACCAGAGAGAGAGACCAGAGAGAGAGACCAGAGAGAGAGACCAGAGAGAGAGAGACCAGAGAGAGAGACCAGAGAGAGAGACCAGAGAGAGAGAGATCAGAGAGAGACCAGAAAGAGAGACCAGAGAGAGACCAGAGAGAGAGAGACCAGAGAGAGAGACCAGAGAGAGACCAGAGAGAGACCAGAGAGAGAGACCAGAGAGAGAGACCAGAGAGAGAGACCAGAGAGAGAGACCAGAGAGAGAGAGACCAGAGAGAGAGACCAGAGAGAGAGACCAGAGAGAGAGAGATCAGAGAGAGACCAGAAAGAGAGACCAGAGAGAGAGACCAGAGAGAGAGAGACCAGAGAGAGAGACCAGAGAGAGACCAGAGAGAGAGACCAGAGAGAGACCAGAGAGAGACCAGAGAGAGAGACCAGAGAGAGAGACCAGAGAGAGACCAGAGAGAGAGACCAGAGAGACCAGAGAGAGACCAGAGAGAGACCAGAGAGAGAGACCAGAGAGAGACCAGAGAGAGAGACCAGAGAGAGACCAGAGAGAGACCAGAGAGAGAGAGAGAGACCAGAAAGAGACCAGAGAGAGAGACCAGAAAGAGACCAGAGAGAGACCAGAGACCAGAGAGAGACCAGAGAGAGACCAGAGAGAGACCAGAGAGAGACCAGAGAGAGAGACCAGAGAGAGACCAGAGAGAGAGACCAGAGAGAGAGACCAGAGAGAGACCAGAGAGAGACCAGAGAGAGACCAGAGAGAGAGAGACCAGAGAGAGAGAGACCAGAGAGAGACCAGAGAGAGACCAGAGAGAGACCAGAGAGAGAGACCAGAGAGAGACCAGAGAGAGAGACCAGAGAGAGAGACCAGAGAGAGACCAGAGAGAGACCAGAGAGAGAGAGAGAGACCAGAAAGAGACCAGAGAGAGAGACCAGAAAGAGACCAGAGAGAGACCAGAGACCAGAGAGAGACCAGAAAGAGACCAGAGAGAGAGACCAGAAAGAGACCAGAGAGAGACCAGAGACCAGAGAGAGACCAGAGACCAGAGAGAGAGAGAGACCAGAAAGAGAGAGTAGGGATGTAAAAAACTATGAATTTTCATGACCGACCACCGAGCCTCATTAACCGGTTGAAACCGGTTAACCGCGTACTTTAAAATAGTCCACATTCTTTGAAATAACAGCCATTTTGAGCCGTGTACTTTTCATAAGTGCAGCTCTGAGTTCTACAAGATCAGAGCTGAGACAGCGGCGCCAAAACCAGCAACAGCTCCGGCACCTTTGCGCACAGAGAACTGCTGTTTTAATCTTCCCATTCTGCTGTGCTGCGGGTTAAGTTACTTGTTCACATGGTCAGAGCAGCAGGTGACGCGCCGCGTCTCACAGGTCTCTGCTAAAGTTCAAAAGTGATGTGTGTGGAGCTGATGCCAAGGACCAGCAGCACACACATGGTCCATGTGGTTTGACTGCAGCCGCGTATTTGCCAGGATCCTTAGGGCTGCGTAACACAGAGGAGCGCGATAGACCGGTATGTGTGTGTGTACAATAAATGTATGTGTGTGTGTGTGTACAATAAATATATGTGTGTGTGTGTAAATATAAGCTCCAATGTAGTTCTGACCCGCACCAGTGTGAAACTAGCAGGCGGTAACAGAGGAGAGAGGATGAGTGTGGATGTTGCGTATCAATGGAGGGGGGAAAGTGTGTGTGCATATGCGGCGCGTGCAGCGTGAGAGTCGTCCCGGAGTTTATAATACATGGGCGCACACAGCTAGATACAGACCCGCTCGTCACATCCTGCAAATAGGGCTTAAAATAGTGTTATTAAGAGACCTCCCCTTTTTCTCTTTTTTAACAAACAGCTTTGACCGGTTAACGCTGTGACGGTCAACCACCGGTTAAACGGTCACGATTTACATCCCTGAGAGAGAGACTGGAGAGAGACCAGAGCGAGACCAGAGAGAGACCAGAGCGAGAGGAAGAGAGAGAGACCAGAGAGAGACCAGAGAGAGACCAGAGAGAGAGACCAGAGAGAGACCAGAGAGAGACCAGAGAGAGAGACCAGAGAGAGACCAGAGCGAGACCAGAGAGAGAGACCAGGGAGAGACCAGGGAGAGAGACCAGAGAGAGACCAGAGAGAGACCAGAGAGAGAGACCAGAGAGAGACCAGAGAGAGACCAGAGCGAGACCAGAGAGAGAGACCAGAGAGAGACCAGAGAGAGACCAGAGAGAAACCAGAGAGACTAGAGAGAGACCAGAGAGAGACCAGAGAGAGACCAGAGAGAGAGACCAGAGAGACTAGAGAGAGACCAGAGAGAGACCAGAGAGAGTCCTCACCCTCCACAGGCCTTTGGTTCCTTCTGTTTGGTAAATGTTGATGAAGTTGGACATCATGCTCCCCTGCAGCAGACTGCCCTGCGCCTGCATCCGGATCTGAAACAAACACAACGTCCTGAACAAAGTCACAGCAGCAGTTTGTACGTCCACAGCCTCTGCAGCTTCATGATACAGATCTGACCCTGGCCTCACATTGAGCCTGGATAGTTCCTCAAAGTGAAGTCATGTAAAACACCAGAGTGAAGCATGTGTTATCATCTATATCTGAAGTTAAATGTTGTGTGTACCTTGAGGACGTCGGTGGGATTGGCTAAAGAAGAGGACAGGACTCCAGACACCACGCCACAGAAGACGTTTATCACCATCGTCTCGTCTGAAACACAGCGGGGAAGTTTCAGACTCACATCAAACAGGATCTATTTTTAAGATCATAGATAATAATCCACTGTGGGGTTACAGATGTTCATGTTGTACTTCAGCAGCAGTGACAGGTGAGAGGCACGTGCACAGACTCAGCAGTCATCGTGTGTGAGAGTAACCACTGCCTTTAGCTTTGTAGCTATAACCCGGCATATTTACATTGTGCATTGTCCCTATACAATAAATAAATAAAACATGTTACAGTTTGTTCAGGCTCCTGTTGTGAATATATTTATATAAAGTTAAAGGCTCGGTGTCCTGTTGTTTTCACAGAGCTTAATTTGACAGGGCTCCATAATATTCTATGAGTAATGTTCATCATCAGGTTTATGGTTTTGTAAATTGTCACCACTTCTAGACGCAAATGAAATAAAATAATTAAACCATAGTTAAAATGTAACGACAAAGTAAGTTATTCATATTTATTGATATAGACCTTTCTCAGACCAGAGTCAAAGCGGTTTACAGCTGTTACATCAGTCTGTGACTCCACACAGAGGTGGGCGGGGCCAGGACAGGAGGCACAGACCTATTGGACATGTTTTTAGTGGTAGGGGAAACCGGAGCACCTGGAGGAAACCTACGCAGACACGGGGAGAACATGCATACTCCATTCAGAACTGTTCTGACCGGGATTCAAACCCAGGACCTTCTTGCTGAGAAGCGAGAGTGCTAACCACTCAGCCACTGTGCCGCCCGAAGATGTGGATTGGTTCAGGAACAACAGAGAAACTAGCTCCAAAGACTAGAATCTGACACTTCAGCCTCCTCCACACTTAGACTATAAATATATACTGCATATATATGAGTGTGTTCACAGTTAAGTGTCAATTGAAGTATCTCGACTTTAAAAGGTTATAACTTAAAAACTAAAATTACTATCATAGATTGGAAAAAAGATTTCAAACACAGACACATCAAAGAGATAGTGTGGATAAAATCAAAAGGAAAGATTGTCAAATATATTTTTGGTGACATTTTAAACGACAAAATCAGCGTCTTTTTTGACCATTCTACTGTGACGCCAGTTACATAGAAAATAAAACGTCCTCAGTCTGAAAAAGCGGCAGATGAAATCCCACAATATTTACATGGTTAACACAACATTAGGAAATCACTTGATATGAAAAGGAATCGTTAAAAAATTAAAAATAATTAATTAATTAAATGACCCTTGAAAAATGCATAACGGACGTGATGGTTTCCGTCCTCTTTTCTCTAAAATTTTAACTTGAGAAAGAAAAAAATCTTGTCTGGTTTCACATTTAATTGGTTGACTAAATGAAAGTATCACTTTGTTTCTACTCTGTGTAAAAAAATAGAATCTCTGAATCAATTGTGAACATCTGAAAATACCATCAAACTTCCGCAAAGCTCATTCCGTCAAATCATCACGTCCGTTACATAAAATAAACAGGGCCGCTTCAGGAAACTTGTCTAATGTATAAAACAGTTATGTTCTAGCAACTTCTAATGGACAGAGGAGGGGCTTGGAAACATGAAAAACATAAAATATCTTCTGATTATTAAAATCTAATTTTTGGCCTTTTGTCACACTTTTGTGCCCTTTAGTGTGAACAAGCCTATATATATATACATATACACATATATATATATATATATATACATATATATATACTATCCCACATACTATACTATACACTATAGTTGTGATGTCACATGAACGAAGTGCCTCACAGCTCCATGGGCCCAAACACATGTTCAGCAGAGAAGCACAGAGTAAAGCACTGGTCCCTGTGATCTCACCTTCAGGGCGACTGACGAAGAAGCGCTTCATGGTGTTGTAGGTCCCGATCTTGATGGTCCCGTACGAGGCCTGTCTCAGCAGAGCAGGAGAGATTCTGAGACACAACGCACTACAGTTCAGTCATTTATATTCTGCTCCATCTGAGACGCCTCTGACCACAGCTGGACTCACTGCATCAGAGCAACACTTTCTACAGTTTCACTCAAGATGAACTCAAATGATTCTCTCTGGTCCCAGAGAGCGGGATCTGTCTCTGCTTAATACCTTCAAATCAGGTCCATTTCTACGGAAAATAATGGACCTGACAAATGTTTTAAAAGCCATATCGAATCAGTAACACAAGCTGCTTTTTACCACCTGAAAAACACAGGGACTGGCCTCCTGCTGGGACTCGGAGGAGCACAGGGACTGGCCTCCTGCTGGGGCTCTGAGGAGCACAGGGACTGGCCTCCTGCTGGGGCTCTGAGGAGCACAGGGACTGGCCTCCTGCTGGGGCTCTGAGGAGCACAGGGACTGGCCTCCTGCTGGGACTCTGAGGAGCACAGGGACTGGCCTCCTGCTGGGGCTCTGAGGAGCACAGGGACTGGCCTCCTGCTGGGACTCGGAGGAGCACAGGGACTGGCCTCCTGCTGGGGCTCTGAGGAGCACAGGGACTGGCCTCCTGCTGGGGCTCTGAGGAGCACAGGGACTGGCCTCCTGCTGGGGCTCTGAGGAGCACAGGGACTGGCCTCCTGCTGGGGCTCTGAGGAGCACAGGGACTGGCCTCCTGCTGGGGCTCTGAGGAGCACAGGGACTGGCCTCCTGCTGGGGCTCTGAGGAGCACAGGGACTGGCCTCCTGCTGGGACTCGGAGGAGCACAGGGACTGGCCTCCTGCTGGGGCTCTGAGGAGCACAGGGACTGGCCTCCTGCTGGGACTCGGAGGAGCACAGGGACTGGCCTCCTGCTGGGACTCGGAAGAGCACAGGGACTGGCCTCCTGCTGGGACTCGGAGGAGCACAGGGACTGGCCTCCTGCTGGGACTCGGAGGAGCACAGGGACTGGCCTCCTGCTGGGCCTCGGAGGAGCACAGGGACTGGCCTCCTGCTGGGACTCTGAGGAGCACAGGGACTGGCCTCCTGCTGGGACTCTGAGGAGCACAGGGACTGGCCTCCTGCTGGGACTCGGAGGAGCACAGGGACTGGCCTCCTGCTGGGACTCGGAGGAGCACAGGGACTGGCCTCCTGCTGGGACTCGGAGGAGCACAGGGACTGGCCTCCTGCTGGGACTCGGAGGAGCACAGGGACTGGCCTCCTGCTGGGACTCGGAGGAGCACAGGGACTGGCCTCCTGCTGGGACTCGGAGGAGCACAGGGACTGGCCTCCTGCTGGGACTCGGAGGAGCACAGGGACTGGCCTCCTGCTGGGACTCGGAGGAGCACAGGGACGGCTGGCTCCTGCTGGGACTCGGAGGAGCACAGGGACTGGCCTCCTGCTGGGACTCGGAGGAGCACAGGGACTGGCCTCCTGCTGGGACTCGGAGGAGCACAGGGACTGGCCTCCTGCTGGGACTCGGAGGAGCACAGGGACTGGCCTCCTGCTGGGACTCGGAGGAGCACAGGGACTGGCCTCCTGCTGGGACTCGGAGGAGCACAGGGACTGGCCTCCTGCTGGGACTCGGAGGAGCACAGGGACTGGCCTCCTGCTGGGACTCGGAGGAGCACAGGGACTGGCCTCCTGCTGGGACTCGGAGGAGCACAGGGACTGGCCTCCTGCTGGGACTCGGAGGAGCACAGGGACTGGCCTCCTGCTGGGACTCGGAGGAGCACAGGGACTGGCCTCCTGCTGGGACTCGGAGGAGCACAGGGACTGGCCTCCTGCTGGGACTCGGAGGAGCACAGGGACTGGCCTCCTGCTGGGACTCGGAGGAGCACAGGGACTGGCCTCCTGCTGGGACTCGGAGGAGCACAGGGACTGGCCTCCTGCTGGGACTCGGAGGAGCACAGGGACTGGCCTCCTGCTGGGACTCGGAGGAGCACAGGGACTGGCCTCCTGCTGGGACTCGGAGGAGCACAGGGACTGGCCTCCTGCTGGGACTCGGAGGAGCACAGGGACTGGCCTCCTGCTGGGACTCGGAGGAGCACAGGGACTGGCCTCCTGCTGGGACTCGGAGGAGCACAGGGACTGGCCTCCTGCTGGGACTCGGAGGAGCACAGGGACTGGCCTCCTGCTGGGACTCGGAGGAGCACAGGGACTGGCCTCCTGCTGGGACTCGGAGGAGCACAGGGACTGGCCTCCTGCTGGGACTCGGAGGAGCACAGGGACTGGCCTCCTGCTGGGACTCTGAGGAGCACAGGGACTGGCCTCCTGCTGGGACTCTGAGGAGCACAGGGACTGGACTCCTGCTGAGACTCTGAGGAGCACAGGGACTGGCCTCCTGCTGGGACTCTGAGGAGCACAGGGACTGGCCTCCTGCTGGGACTCTGAGGAGCACAGGGACTGGCCTCCTGCTGGGACTCTGAGGAGCATACCCCTCTCCCCCCCTCTCTTACCCAGAGTACAGCGCCCGGACGCCCTCCTCTTTGCCGATCCGGAACAGAGCGTGGAACATGCCTCTGTAGCGCACCTCCGTGTACTGGGACTGACCCTGGACCTGGAGCCGGGTCTTGGTCAGGTCGATGGGGAACGTGCCTGAGACAGAACCAACAGTTTCAGCTTTACTCATGTTCTCAGACACTGCAGTGATGTCTGTCTCTGCTTCAGCATCAACACTCTGCGCCTGTGGAAGAGTAACGTGGAAGAGTAATGTGGAAGAGTAACGTGGAAGAGTAACGTGGAAGAGTAACGTGGAAGAGTAACGTGGAAGAGTAACGTGGAAGAGTAATGTGGAAGAGTAATGTGGAAGAGTAACATGTTGTGTACGGTCCACAGGTGAAATCAATAGTTTTCTATCATGTGTTTGTAAAAAGTGTTGCGAACCCAGTACATTTACTTTAAAATATTCTGTATAATCGTACATAAGTGAACGTAATGACAATATCATTAGTTAAAGTAGATGAAATGACTCTAAAGATCATGTGAAGTTCCTCAATCCTTGCCTGCGCCTGAGTATGATGAGTATGAAGAGTGTTTTCAGAGCAGGAACGACGACCACAGTGAGTCTGAGTTTTGCATTCATACAAAAGAGGACAATGTTTTGAATTTGAACGAGACAGAAACATTGGGGCTGTATTTACCGTGTGTGGAGTCGGCTGCAGCGACCCCTGCTGGTTTCATTTACTCACAACATCATCATTTGATATTTGACTTTATTTAGAAGCTACAACACGATACTGCTCTATTTGTGGAGGTGGATCCGTCTGTGGTCCGGTTTAAGACCAGTTCCAGTTATTCTTTCAGAGTAAACAGTATTAAAGCACTTAATGTTAAAGCACTTTACTTTCACATTGTGGAGTTTGGGGCCGACGCTGCTGTTGTAACTAACTACCAAAGTCTGGACACCCCCACCCTGACGTGTGACATCAGCGCCGTCTGTCAGAGTCAGGAAAATAAGGATTTGGGAGATTGGAATCCAAAGGTGAACATATGTTTATGTTAGTAGAACTTTACAGAACATTAAAAACATTAGAACTGTTTGGGCCAAAACTTTGAGTTAAACTGATTGTATAAATCTTTGGCTGAACTTAACTTGTAATAAGTTAAAATGTTAGAACAGATTTAATTCTATTGTTGTTTTCCTGAGACAAAAAGTATTAAACTGAAGTATAACGTGCCATTGACCTCATTACCATCAAAGCTGTGAGTTACTGTGATAATAATAATAAATCATTAGAATTGTCTCACGTTTCCTGCTGCAGGATAAACACCAAAACAAAAAACAAAACACATGATTGAGAGAAAAGAATCAGTAATTCTCCTCATTCCTGTCACTGACATCAGCAGAAAGCATCAGCAGCTGATCCCTGATGGTTTCTCACTAGTGTCTCCATAATATCGTGGATCATTCACTTACTGTGAGAATGATTCTTTAATAGATACTTTATTGATCGCCGTAGGAGAAATTCAGGAAAAGATGTCATTCCTTAGCTAAAGAGATTTTACTTTTTTTAACTATAGAATAATACTTAATATTCATGGATCTTCCTCGTTCCTACTGCTCTGTAACCTGTGGTGCAACACTGACATTTCCTCACTGTAGATGAACACAGGATCTCTTCACCTAAAAAGAACTATATTTTATACTAGTTTTAGTGATGGTGAAAATCCTATTGTTTAAACACTTTAGACTCCCACCATCCTAACACACCAACATTAGATCGTATCTGTTCTATATAATTAAACCATCTGCCCACATGTCGTATCTTCAACAGCACTAGCTCTTTATGTGTTGCTGCTTTACTGCTTTATCCTCCGGTTTACGGTCCGCAGTTACGCGCGTGCATCTCTTACCGAATTCTGCGACAATCGAGGCCATCCCTCCGTAGATGAAGGGCTTCCAGTTGAGGGCTTCCATCTCGGAGTCTGCGGCGGCTGCAGAGTCCGCCTCCACCTGCTGTAGCGCGGCTAGAAGCAAGAGCAGAGCGCCCAGGCACAGGTCAATGCACGGCTGCAGGCTCACGGTGAGGGGCATGGCGGAGCGGGGCACGGCGGAGCGGGGCATGACGGGAGTAAACAGAGCCGCGGTGTTAAAGCCTCAGCCTCAGCATCTCTGCAGCGGCCACAGCAGTGCACCAGACCCGGACTGGGATGTGGGGTTGCTATTGGCGCAGCGGGCTGTCAGTCACGCACGCGGCGCAGGGATTGGCTGCTGTGGGATGTGTGGGCGGGGTTTGAGAGCCGCGGTTCAGCTTCCTCTGTGTGTGGAAGATTATGCAGCATTTTGAGAGTTTGAGGGAAAGTGTTTGGAGCATGGATCTATTATATTAACGGTTTAGAGCGGAATTCTCTGAGGAAGGTTTTTTGTTTGTATTTTAATAGTGTGTTAACATCTTTAACAGACACCATTCAATACAGACATCTAGTGTTGCTTTATGGTTCTTGGGCTGCAACACAGTAGTAACAGTGTAATAATTATTTAAATCCGAGCACGTCACGTTTTAGCTGAACTATATGCTAACATAATAATGTGTTTTTTGAAACTATAAAACACATGTTATCTAAAGAACAGTTCCTCCGTTAGTCGGGCCCTGGAGGCAGCAGTCTGAGCAGAGACAGACCTCCCTCTCTGCACACACTCTCCTGCTCATCTGGGGGAATCCTGAGGCAGTTCCAGGTCATAAACATGTTGCTCTTTGGTTGTACTCGTCCACAGTCTGACAGTGTATGTTAGATCTACCTTATGTTGCCAAACCAGAGGAGCTCAGCATTTACCATAAAACGAGGCCCGTGTCCAGCACAAAAACACAATCCTTTACACAGTTAGTTAATCCTTTTGAGATTGGATCAGAGAGATGCAGATGTAAACACTTCTATAGAGCGATAATTGCTCTCAGCAGTTGGACCTCTGGCAGTTTGTCGCCTCTTTCCTCAAATAATGTGTTTGTTTGTTTGAATTGCACTGCTGCAGGCGTTTGACAGTAACTGTGAATGATCCAAACACACTCGGCCTGGGAAAGACGATGATATACAAACATCATTGGAAAAATAAATAAAAATAATGACATTTGAACAATTATCAGATTAAACTGGATTGATTTGTGTGTATTAGCAGCCAATGTTGATTTTTCACTTTCATCACAGACGCTCAGATAAACGATCCTGTTTTAGGGCAGAATAATGTTTTTATCCTTGTGCCCAGGGCTTTTTAGAGGCACAGGTTTATAAGAAAAGTGAATCATCTGATTACGTGCATGCACTGCCCTCTGGTGGACAAAACTACAGCCCTTATACATATTCGAATAAAACAATGAAATTCAAACATGGTTTCTGAGCTGAGTCCCAGCCCTGGAACACACCGGATCATTTTAAACATGCCACACTTTAGAGACACATTTTACACTATTTCTATTTAAGTGGACTCTTATGAGGCGGTGTTTTGTGTCAGTACTGTCCCTAGGATCACTGATGTATCACAGGTACCAACGGTCGTCACTTACTCAAAACATCCTGTCAAATACGTCACATGAAACAGGAAGCAGAAACCCACATGTTCGTTCTTTTAACAAAGAGATCAAAAACACATTTAAAGTTAAAGCTGCACTTACTGACTTTGGGATTTTGAAGCCGTGGACTCTCTGGCCTCTCTCTTTCTGCTCCCCTCCCCGCACCCACGAAGCTATCGCTTGGGACGGAGCTAGCGTCTCCCAATATGGATAATACATGGATATGGATTTGCACGTGGATGGCGTGACCACAGAACGATAGAACCGGGAACCGCGGAGGAACGAGACTTTCTTTTGGCTGTCTCGCTGTGTAAGCAGTAACCGGTGACGAAGACGAGGAAGTTTCAGGTTAGCTCCGCCGCTTGTTGTGCTAACTCAGCCGTCTATGCTAACGGAGACCTGTAGATTTCTCACAAAAGTGGGGGCTAGTGGTCCGCGGTGATTGGTCACAATCTGCGACCCGAAACACATTCTCTTCCTTGTTTCATCAAAACTCGATCTAAAATATAATGTCAGGCCAGCACAAATCTGTGCTACTTTTTCTTCAAAAGGACGTATAAAAATATATATAAATGCACTGCGTGGACATGGATAGCACTTTCGTAATGAATACAAAAATAAAGTCAGTTAGTGCAGCTTTAAAGGCACACCGCGGACTTTGTGACCTAAAGAGTTGACACATGAGTTATTTTATATGAATACTTGGGCCAATATACAGCGCTTGACACTTGCAATGCTCCGAGCGGGGCTGCCCTCTTGAAATACCGCCCATGTAAGTTTCGAGCAGACGGACCGTCTGCCACCAGGTCACGTGACTTGGAAGAAAGACTTGCTTTACGGCTACAGGCGCTGATATACTCATGGAGCTAAGGCTTTTGCTACTCATTTTTCACCTGCTCGACTCCTGGTCATGGCTGAGGCAAGGAAAAATTTTAAACCTTCGGAGGAGGCTAAAAAGAGGAAACGCGAAAGGGATCGTGCTGTAAGCTGCATGTCTGTATGAGCGCTGCTCTTCACCTGGTTCCTGGATGTCATCGACTGCAAAGATGTCATTCCACGCAGCACGAGCTAGACGCAGAACTCCCTCATCCAGGATATAGAAGTCCATGTGTGGTAGATTACTAATGCAGCGGTCTGGAGGCTGACCACAGCAGAGTCTCTCAATATCTGTAGGCATGTCTCTACAGTTTGAACAGACACACCAGTGCATGCTGTCTGAATACACACTCAAAAGACACCGGCTGACTGTTTGTTGACTTTTGCGACAGTGCTGAGTTGCTTGTGGCCACTAGGGGCGCTAAACGTGAAAGTTGCAGGTCTAGCGCCCCTAGTGGCCAAGAGTTACACGGTGTGCCTTTAAGTTAAAGGCTCTGCTGTGGTCAGCCTCCAGACCGCTGCATTAGTAATCTACCACACATGGACTTCTATATCCTGGATGAGGGAGTTCTGCGTCTAGCTCGTGCTGCGTGGAATGACATCTTTGCAGTTGATGACATCCAGGAACCAGGTGAAGAGCAGCGCTCATACAGACATGCAGCTTACAGCACGATCCCTTTCGCGTTTCCTCTTTTTAGCCTCCTCCAAAGGTTTAAAATTTTTCCTTGCCTCAGCCATGACCAGGAGTCGAGCAGGTGAAAAATGAGTAGCAAAAGCCTTAGCTCCATGAGTATATCAGCGCCTGTAGCCGTAAAGCAAGTCTTTCTTCCAAGTCACGTGACCTGGTGGCAGACGGTCCGTCTGCTCGAAACTTACATGGGCGGTATTTCAAGAGGGCAGCCCCGCTCGGAGCATTGCAAGTGTCAAGCGCTGTATATTGGCCCAAGTATTCATATAAAATAACTCATATGTGTCAACTCTTTAGGTCACAAAGTCCGCGGTGTGCCTTTAACTCGAACCCGACAGTTTCAACCAAAATAATAATGGACAAAGGAATCGTCACGGCCTGTTTTAGTCTGGACCAAACTAACAAACACATATCTAAAATAGCTGCCAACTATTTCAATAAGATAAGAAATCATTTATTCGTCCCACAGTGGGGAAATTTCAATGTTGCAGTGCACAGACAGGACAGGGAGAGACACAGGGAGCACACAACATGATTGACTGGCTTCTATTGTTCAGAACTCCCAGAGCAGTCAATTTGACGGATAATTAAATTCAAGTTTTATAAATCGATTTTAGCACTTAATTAAAAGTGAATAAAGAACACTTTGTAGAAAACAAGCAGAAATGGGAACAGAAACAATACAGCTCTGGGATTCCTGGTGTTATTTACTAATTGTGAACTATTTGAATGATGGATTAAGTTGTTACAGCCTGAGAGACAACAGGAGAAAGTGCAAATAAACCGCCGCACTGTGAGGCGTGTCTCCAGGTTTGGGTCAAATGAAAACCCGCTGTTATCAAGCTAAAGGTGGTACAAAAAAGTATAGTAAGCACATTGTGAATTTCTCCTTTTTGAGATTAATAAAGTATATCTTATCTTATATTATTAGAAAATGAATTAATCTTCAGTGCAGAAACAACTAATAACTAATTAATTATTGTTGAGAAGTGTTTTACTGGCGAGACATTCATGATGCAGAACAGTAAATAGAAAAACACATTCATAATTACTTTATTTTGAAGAGACTTCCTCTGTCTCCCTTCAGCTGTAGTGTGGCTCCATCCAATGAAAAACCATTTTAAATCAATAAACGCCATAACATGATTGTTATTATGACAGGACAGAGATATTAGCACGATAATTACTGAGAGAATACACTGTAATAAACATGTAACGATTTTATATTGTTGTCAAGGCAAAACACAATCTGAATTCCTATTGGCTGATCACGCTGTCAATCATTCAAGTCAAATCGCTATTGGCTGTTGTGAGAAAAGGGGCGGGCGTGTTTTCAATGACAGCGGATTCAATATTTTCGATAAAGCCTCTGGATAAAGATAAAAACCATGTGCGTGTCTCAGGATCACTGTCCCAGACACGTCCTGGTGCAAAGACATAAGCTGCCATTTGTTAACGGTTATTGTGAGAGCGCGCGGGATGCTAACTGCTAGCTGCTAACACTTCACACATTACACTCGTGATAAAAACAGCAACAAGTTTAGGAGAAGCAAAGTCAAACTGAAGGCCACTTACGTCTTTGTGTCTGGTGAATATCACTCCATGTCCTCGGACTGAGCCTTCGCGGTCCGGAGCCCGAACATGGCGGGACTTTGGAGGAGTAAAAAAGGGGAAAGTTGATGCTACTGTTCGCTGCTACTCATTTTTCTGGAGGCAGCTAACGGCTAACGGCAGAAGCAAGGGGAGGGGAGGCAGCTAGCGGTAGCCATAGCAACAGGAAGTCCGGGTTACAGAATAAAATATAAAATAGTAAGAATATTGTTTTAATATATAGTATCTGAAATGTCATCACTGTGGGACATTTAAAAAAATAAATAATAATTGTATCATTATTTTATTTATGATCTATTACGTTGTGTACTGTTTACCCACTGTTGGGGCCATAGACTGTATATAAACAGACAGAGTCAGTATCTCCGCCGTTCTAACTAATGGGCCAAAAAATGTGCTCTACTGGAGCAATCCAAAATGGCTGCGAGTGGTCCCGCCCACAAGAAAATTGTGAAAAAACGCATCTGCGCATGTGTCAGCCGGAGAGAGCTCCATTCATTTAAACAAGAGACTTCAAAAGATTCACAGCAAGTAAACTAGAGTGGACCAAAACACCCCCTCAGCATTGACACACATGTGGAACGGAGCTTTGGGCCAAGAGACAACTTTTGATCCATCCTGTAAAGACGTTTTTGAGAGGTCTGCCAATGCTATATGTTAGCATTGGCTAATTCTACTTCTGGGCCCAACCCCACAGGCCCGGGGTGGTATTGCAGCATGTCAGCGCACGTCATTTTGGCCACTTTTGAGCTGGAACCCTCCCCCACTGGTTGGGGCAAATAAAGGATTTTATTATATGACTTGGACCGTACGCGCGCTCTGATTGGCTGATTACCGGTCTGATATTTTCCCATCTCGGACCGTTACCATGACAATCTGTCCACAGCGTGTATCACACAAAACCAAGTCGGACATGAACATACTTCACAAATATCTCAAAAGCATTGGTAAAGACACAGACGAGAGTCATATAATAAAACATTTATTAACCTCGGTCTGTGCAGATGTAACCGGTGGGTTGTTTGTCCCTAATGAGCCGCCGTAGAGGGAATTCCCCCCCAAGCCGGTACGTAGACTTCCGCATTCCATTACATTAGCACTCATATATAAACACACAGCAGACACCCGTACTGACGCTACATCCCTGTGCCGCTTGCGCCAATCGTGGTCCCTGGGGCGGGTATTCCTCTCACTGCTGAAGGCCTGACGCTGGCTCAGACTGCTGCGTGTGTAAAGGAGGCGGCCTGCTATGACGTAGCCGCTCTCTTGTAGTCATACTAGGCGCTGAGTGCCTTGCAGTTTTTATTTGGGTCTAATTGGCATTTAATTTTGTTTTTGTTGTTTCTTTATTTAATTTACTTATTTACTGTGTTTGTTTGGTGCTTAGTTCATTTTAATATATTGAACCCTGTGATTGGGTACTTGTGCTCATTGTGTCTCTTTCTGCTCAGGGTCTGGTCCGGGCGTGGCTTCTCATGGTGGGGGATTTGGTGATAGAGTTACCCACTGCTGCACCATCACTCCTTTTGAATGCCGTGGTATTTTGCACCTCCCTTCACCACTTGTACATTTTCAGTTTGCCTCTTTTCTTGATTTGGTGTGTATGTATGAATGTGTGGCACGGAGCGTAGTGAGTGCTCTATTCCAGCCTCTCTGTCCTCCATCGTGTGTGGCCGCTACTGGCCAGCCCTGAGTTTGCTTTCTTTCTTTCTGGTTAGCATTGGAGCACATATTTTATAATTGGTATTTTTAATGATTACATTTAATTCAATGAAATAAAAACATATATTTTCCTATTTCTTAGGTCTCATTTCGCCAAATAAATTGCTCAAAATTGTATAATTTGTGTCTGGTCAATTACTTGTTGCGTCCCACCATTATTCCAGGGCCCTGCGGTCACACAGAGAAATATCAGACCGCGGCCTTAATGTACAGACCTCGCCCCGGCTCGGTCTGTACATTAAGGCTCGGTCTGTGCATTAAGGCTCTGTCTGTGCATTAAGGCTCGGTCTGTACATTAAGGCTCGGTCTGAGCATTAAGGCTCGGTCTGTGCATTAAGGCTCGGTCTGTGCATTAAGGCTCGGTCTGTGCATTAAGGCTCGGTCTGAGCATTAAGGCTCGGTCTGTGCATTAAGGCTCGGTCTGTGCATTAAGGCTCGGTCTGTGCATTAAGGCTCGGTCTGTACATTAAGGCTCGGTCTGTGCATTAAGGCCGCGGTCTGTGCTTTAAGGCTCGGTCTGTGCATTAAGGCTCTGTCTGTGCATTAAGGCTCGGTCTGTGCATTAAGGCTCGGTCTGTGCATTAAGGCTCGGTCTGTGCATTAAGGCTCGGTCTGTGCATTAAGGCTCGGTCTGTGCATTAAGGCTCGGTCTGTACATTAAGGCTCGGTCTGTGCATTAAGGCTCGGTCTGTACATTAAGGCTCGGTCTGTGCATTAAGGCTCGGTCTGTGCATTAAGGCTCGGTCTGTGCATTAAGGCTCAGTCTGTACATTAAGGCTCGGTCTGTGCATTAAGGCTCGGTCTGTACATTAAGGCTCGGTCTGTGCGTTAAGGCTCGGTCTGTACATTAAGGCTCGGTCTGTGCATTAAGGCTCGGTCTGTGCATTAAGGCTCGGTCTGTGCATTAAGGCTCGGTCTGTGCATTAAGGCTCGGTCTGTACATTAAGGCTCGGTCTGTACATTAAGGCTCGGTCTGTGCATTAAGGCTCGGTCTGTACATTAAGGCTCGGTCTGTGCGTTAAGGCTCGGTCTGTGCATTAAGGCTCGGTCTGTACATTAAGGCTCGGTCTGTGCATTAAGGCTCGGTCTGTACATTAAGGCTCGGTCTGTGCGTTAAGGCTCGGTCTGTACATTAAGGCTCGGTCTGTGCATTAAGGCTCGGTCTGTACATTAAGGCTCGGCCTGTGCATTAAGGCTCGGTCTGTACATTAAGGCCAAGGTCTGTACATTAAGGCTCGGTCTGTACATTAAGGCTCGGTCTGTGCATTAAGGCTCGGTCTGTACATTAAGGCTCGGTCTGTACATTAAGGCTCGGCCTGTGCATTAAGGCTCGGTCTGTACATTAAGGCCAAGGTCTGTACATTAAGGCTCTGTCTGTACGTTAAGGCTCGGTCTGTACATTAAGGCTCGGTCTGTACATTAAGGCTCGGTCTGTGCATTAAGGCTCGGTCTGTACATTAAGGCTCGGTCTGTGCATTAAGGCTCTGTCTGTACGTTAAGGCTCGGTCTGTACATTAAGGCTCGGTCTGTACATTAAGGCTCGGTCTGTGCATTAAGGCTCGGTCTGTACATTAAGGCTCGGTCTGTGCATTAAGGCTCTGTCTGTACGTTAAGGCTCGGTCTGTACATTAAGGTTCGGTCTGTGCATTAAGGCTCGGTCTGTACATTAAGGCTCGGTCTGTGCATTAAGGCTCGGTCTGTGCATTAAGGCTCGGTCTGTGCATTAAGGCTCGGTCTGTACATTAAGGCTCGGTCTGTGCATTAAGGCTCGGTCTGTGCATTAAGGCTCGGTCTGTGCATTAAGGCTCGGTCTGTACATTAAGGCTCGGTCTGTACATTAAGGCTCGGTCTGTGCATTAAGGCTCGGTCTGTACATTAAGGCTCGGTCTGTACATTAAGGCTCGGTCTGTACATTAAGGCTCGGTCTGTGCATTAAGGCTCGGTCTGTACATTAAGGCTCGGTCTGTGCATTAAGGCTCGGTCTGTACATTAAGGCTCGGCCTGTGCATTAAGGCTCGGTCTGTACATTAAGGCCAAGGTCTGTACATTAAGGCTCGGTCTGTACATTAAGGTTCGGTCTGTGCATTAAGGCTCGGTCTGTACATTAAGGCTCGGTCTGTACATTAAGGCTCGGCCTGTGCATTAAGGCTCGGTCTGTACATTAAGGCCAAGGTCTGTACATTAAGGCTCGGTCTGTACGTTAAGGCTCGGTCTGTACATTAAGGCTCGGTCTGTACATTAAGGCTCGGTCTGTACATTAAGGCTCGGTCTGTACATTAAGGCTCGGTCTGTGCATTAAGGCTCTGTCTGTACGTTAAGGCTCGGTCTGTACATTAAGGCTCGGTCTGTACATTAAGGCTCGGTCTGTACATTAAGGCTCGGTCTGTGCATTAAGGCTCGGTCTGTACATTAAGGCTCGGTCTGTGCATTAAGGCTCGGTCTGTACATTAAGGCTCGGTCTGTGCATTAAGGCTCGGTCTGTGCATTAAGGCTCGGTCTGTGCATTAAGGCTCGGTCTGTACATTAAGGCTTGGTCTGTACATTAAGGCTCGGTCTGTGCATTAAGGCTCGGTCTGTACATTAAGGCTCGGTCTGTACATTAAGGCTCGGTCTGTACATTAAGGCTCGGTCTGTGCATTAAGGCTCGGTCTGTGCATTAAGGCTCGGTCTGTACATTAAGGCTCGGTCTGTGCATTAAGGCTCGGTCTGTGCATTAAGGCTCGGTCTGTACATTAAGGCTCGGTCTGTACATTAAGGCTCGGTCTGTGCATTAAGGCTCGGTCTGTGCATTAAGGCTCGGTCTGTGCATTAAGGCTCGGTCTGTGCATTAAGGCTCGGTCTGTGCATTAAGGCTCGGTCTGTACATTAAGGCTCGGTCTGTACATTAAGGCTCGGTCTGTGCATTAAGGCTCGGTCTGTGCATTAAGGCTCGGTCTGTACATTAAGGCTCGGTCTGTACATTAAGGCTCGGTCTGTGCATTAAGGCTCGGTCTGTGCATTAAGGCTCGGTCTGTACATTAAGGCTCGGTCTGTGCATTAAGGCTCGGTCTGTGCATTAAGGCCAAGGTCTGACATTTCTCCATACAGACCTCGCGCTCGGTTAATGAGCTGTTAATCTTATCTTAACTTATCTTAATAAAAGGTCTCTTAATCACACAATTTTTATCTATTCCCTCTTTAAAGGGGGTTTATTTCAGGCAATGGCCATTGACTGTATATAGATGGACAATGATCACCTGCTCAATGAAGCCTCCCTACCACTAAAACCACTAAAACCACTAAAACCACTAAAACCACTAAAACCACTAAAACCACTAAAACCATTAAAACCACTAAAACCACTAAAACCACTAAAACCATTAAAACCACTAAAACCATTAAAACCATTAAAACCACTAAAACCACTAAAACCACTAAAACCACTAAAACCATTAAA